ATCCCTTCGGCCGGTGGACGCCGAAAGCCCTTTACAACGGACAAAGAAACTATCCCAAGCCACTTTCAAACAATGATGGATTAAAAGGATATAAATAGATGTAAACATTGTTTAATTGATTTAGTCAATATTTGTTTCTTTCTCTTTCTTTAAAAGTTAACATACAATTCTATAAAGTTATAAATCTAAATCGAGAGCGCTGGTATAAAATCAGGTTTCTTGATCATCCCTTCGGCCGATGGACGCCGAAGGCCCTTTATAACGGACGAAATACCGTCCCAAGCCGCATTTCATGTGTTATGTTCTATGTATGTGGTGTAATTTATGTTATATTTGTGTCTTGATAAAGGAGCGGGTTGTCTCGAAAATTTGATAATTCGCTTGTCCGTACCGTCGCTATTACTTCATTGATCATATATCTATTTCAGTAACACGCATCCAACGAACATTTGTTTGTTAAGATCCAGTACCAATATTGGACCATACCGTCGATATTACTTACTAAATTATATATATACATATATATATACACACACACAATAAAGATAAGTTATTTTGGCTTGAATTGGTGCAGCGAATCTTTCAAGAATACAGTTGCGTTATGCTTTTGAAAAATATTTTCAAATCTTTCTATTTATTTATTTGTTTACCTATCTACACATTTGTTTTTGTAGATGGAATAAAACAAATATATATTGAAAATGAAAATATATAATGATAACTGTAGTTTGTTCGGTAATTTCCACCAAAGAAATTATTCTTTTTGCTTCAAATTGTAAGCCAACCCGCGAAAATTTCAACAAACGAGAAAAACGATCTCTACAGTATCTAAGTGTACACTCACTCATCAATATACGTGTTATCAATGGCAGTCGCTTTTCCCCCTCAAGATCCGACCATCATTATCATTATTTTTTTTTACAAATAACAGAATTTGCTTTCTTTCCTAATTTGTTGGGAAATCCACAACTTACTCTGGAAATGAATATAAAATCTATAATTACGTGCATACTTTCATAAAATCCAGCAAAAGATTTTGATGAAGTTTACAACAAGTGAAGTTTTTACATATCTTTATTATTAATTGTGTATTAACGATGAATTCATTCATACTGTTATTCATTATTAATACATATCGATTGTTTATCTGTTAGAAGGCGATGATAAGTAGTTAAATTGATAACTTGTGTCTGATCCAATGTCTTCAGTAGATAATGATACGTTTGAATCAATCAGGTTTATTCTCATTATTGTCACAGAATCCATGTCTGAAAAGTCATAACCTAATTATAATTTAACACGAGATATAAAATCTAATTATGTTCTCTCTTTTTTTCTGTAGAAACACTGTTTATTAAAATGTTCATTATATTTTGTCAAACGGGACATAAATGATTGTCTTCCGTGACAAGTACATGTAAAAACAAATTCAATACATTTAAAAAGATGATTTAAATCTTTTAAATATTTATTACAAAAATAGCAATTTCAAATTCATGCAATAATACAAGATACATAAAATGCATTTTATTTGAAATTACGTCCTGATTAAAAACTGAAAGCAAGTACAACGTTGAAAGCATATAAAAAAAGGCGAGTCAGAAAACTGAACTTTATAGTTCAACTCCAAAAGTAGAAAATGTTTGGATTCAAGTTAACAGTCAAACTGGTATAACCAGGTATTCTGACAGCCAAAAAGATCTATGTTTAAAAATATTGATTGCTTGACAAATTGACACACCCAAACCATAAATACATATAAGTACGTATGTTTATAGTACAGACAGACATATAAAACTGCTGACTAGGTCGTATGTAGAAATAGCATCCATCCAATTTTCGCTATTTCAGTAAATTATATTCATACTTAAAACTTGAGAATTATTGCAAAAAACAGATTTTTTACAATTTATCATGCAAATTTTTAAAAATTTGCGTCAATTCTAAAAAGGTGTTAATTACAGTTTTACAGATGTGTCAAAATTCAGTGCTTTAATTATACACATAACAGTTTTTTGCTACAAAACCATGAAATAAACAGCATTTTAAAATGCCAACAGTTCCAAACGAGTCAAACTATAGCAGATCTAAAAAATGTTTGAAAAACATACATTTGCTTCTAATTCTGCTTTAATGGAAAGAAAACCTGTTAAACTTGCAGCTTGATGTCACCATGAACGTCTTTTGTTAGCTTAGTACTCCTCAAGATCCGCAGGTATGAAATTCAATTATCGTTGTCTGAAGAAGGGAGATAACTGCAAATCCTAACCAAGAAAAAAAAGTTGACTATGGCTCATTCACTGTATTTGAGGAATAAAAAACTCTCCTCCAAGGAGAGGATATCCATATGTGTATAGGATAATTAGAAGATCTCATGTATTTCATATGAAATTTATAACGTTAATCAAGGAAATTTTCAATCCACTGTCTTTAAGTGATGCTACGAAGATAAAACACCAAAATCATAAAACGAGAAATTTCAGTCCATTACTGCACCAATAGGTGTTCTTATAACTGTGCATGTGAAATGAATGTCACCAGTGTTTTTTCATGTATATCAGTGAATAAAGAAAGTTTGAAAATAGAAAATTGACTGGATTTTGTATTTAATCCTAAAAGTATCGTAAGATAAACTTGAATGAAGTAAACAAATCACGAGAAACAAGAGGTTGTCTACAGTAACATTGGGAAACTACACATGGCACTCAATGTAGAACAATGAGTAGAGGCACAGACATTTGATAAAATCAAATGGATGAAAGACATTCAATGGAATATTATTTTAGAGATTCTGATCACATGTATATCACAACAAATAAAAAAAATGGACAAAAACAACATGTCCATCCATGCATAACATAGCAACATTAACAAATTCTTTTAAAAAAATCACAATTTCTTAATCACTTAAAAAGGCAAGTAAGCGTTCCACAACAGTAAGTTTATGTAGGATGAATAATAGCCATATATATATATATAAACCACAGCAGGATAAGATGGGATGCAGTGTGGTACAGGACAATGTGAAAGTGGAGAAGGATGCAGCAGGAGGGCGAGAAAGATGGGATCCACCAGGGCAGGACAGAAAGGGATGAACACAGGAAATGATATAAGTTTCCCTATAACAGTACAGGGACTTAAAAGTGATCAAGGGAAGAATGAGGTGGGCTAAGGTATTTAACAAATTGATTTATATATAAAATAATTTTAGATCTCACAAATTAAATCTATTGAACGCTGAAATGGTTATTACCGAAGCTTACAGTACTTTTATACTGAAAAAGGATAACAAAAGCAGCATACATAACGTCTATCATGCTGACACATTAAAGTTTGGAATGTTGGATATCAGACTTTTGAATACTGAGATAACAGATCATTCTTTGCTGTCATGGTTGGTTCCTAAGGCAGGACACCTTACTCCAATAGCTTTACATATACTGTTGTATATGACAGACCTTCCATATTTGGTTCCTTGAGGTAGTAACCAACTCATATGAGGAAACCACATTTCAGAATGATACTGGCTTTTCATGAGACAATCATCCCAGCAATCGAACCTTTGTTAAATATATTTACAAACATCAAATGAAAAAAAAAAGGTTTATAATCTAAAATACCTTATATGTGTAAGCATTCAGTGCACAGTACTGGAACAACTGTTTGCAATCACCATGTGAAATATAAATGTAAAAAAAATTACTTCTACACCTAGTACAATTTCTAAACAATGATTAACAAGATAATGAGCTTAGAATTGGGCTTTGCCTGTTGCCCAGTTTCTGAAATGTCCAAAGAAACATACATATATATGTATATATAAACATATGTTTGGTGAAAGTACAAGCTTTCCACAGAAAAATGAACTGACAACCAGACACAAAATCAAAGGGAATACTTTTACCTCTCTAGTAAGTCAGAATAATAAAAAAAAAAAATTCTGCGGTGGAACTTTTTTGATTGAGACCATTCTGATTAAAAAACAAATTCCTGAAAACTATCCCTTAAGGTTGTATGTAATATTAAAAGATTGACACTTTTGTTATATCCCTTAGCAGAGAGTAGCAGATTCTTGTGTGCTTTATCGTAATGAATTTATTAACACATTACCATGATAAATAGACATATTTTGTTAACTGGATCTAAAGAGATATTTCAGAGTGAAATATTAGTTCACATTCAGAACTCAAAATCACATCCTTGGGTTCATAATTGTCATATTATTATTGTTTTCTATTACACGAAGGGGATTTCAAAACGGGTTTTATCACTGAATTTAGATAGAGATACTGAGCACAAAATCATTATCTGACAACAAAGGAAGATATGAGATATTGTCACCGGAGACCAGAAACTGTAAAACTACTGCTGGTTTGCAAAAATTCATGGGATTCCTTCAAACTAATCCCAAAAATTTCAGTACATTCTATCAACCTTTTGCTATTAACAATGAACCGACTTTCATTCAATGGAAAAGAAAAAAAAAATACAACAATGGCATCTGTGCACTTCAAAATGAAATTTTTCTGATTTACAGATGGAAATAGTAAAGTAGGAATGATATGTATAGTCTTATGTATATCAATATAACAACACAGTAACTTGTCAATAATTCTATTCTGTAAAATCAATACATTTTGTATTTTATGTTTTTATGGGGGTGAATTCGTTGATATCATGGACATATACTAATGTTGATCTACAAAATATAACAATAAATCAATACACTGCAAAAACTAGACATGTGTTGTTTTGTATTAGTGGGGTTTTTGAGCAATATCTTAGTACCCACGAAATCAAGATGTTTTCGTTCAATCCACGAAATCCATATGTTTTCATTTAATCCACGAAATCAAGATGTTTTCGTTTAATCCACGAAATCAAGATGTTTTCTTTTAATCCACGAAATCAAGATGTTTTCGTTACTTGATTGAAGGTTTTTACCTTCACCAAGGAATTTTGATATTTATGCTAAATAAATTAAACAATATAATCTTTATACTAACTATAATTTTATAACTCTTTCATCTTTATTTAAGAACAATTTCAACTACTGTTTAGAAGCTTTAGATCCCTAGGGTATCAAAATTCAAAGCATTTATTCAACTTTTCAAAGCCCTAATAATCAACATGAATTAGAATGACAAACTATATATAATTATTTATGACGACACAAAACATTAATATCAGGAATGTGCATGTAAATATTAAAACAGAACTGTAGTCATAAACATTTGCAAAAACAATAGATGGAAAAAAAGATAAAAATTGATTTATCAAATGAGTGAAAAAAAAATGTCCCCCATGGATGGAGGACAGGAATGCTTCAATATTGGATTATTGGAACATTTCTATGGCGATAGAACAACACGTACACACGGTAAGTGTTACTAAAACCATCACTACTGTGAAGTAAAATACTTGATAACTTTCAAACTGCTACATGCCATTTCTTGTTTATATTTGTAGACATTTTTTCTTAAGGATAACATGGTTATCCAAAATGTTATCAAACTTTGTATTAAAAATACAGACAGAATATCTCGATGGCAATACAGGCTGCCTTTAATATTTGATATGATACCAAACTGATAGAATATCTCGATAGCAATACAGGCTGCCCTTAATATCTGATATGATCACCAAACTGATAGAATATCTCGATAGCAATACAGGCTGCCCTTAATATCTAATATAATCACAAAACTGACTCCTTCATCACTATAATCCATACTTGCTTTTATAAAGATATTTTAAACAGTATATAGCTCACACAATATTTGTATACAGTTATAGCATTGCAGAAAAAAAAGTATTCAAAGACAAAACTCAACATTAAAAATAAAAAAAAGACATTAGATATGTAAACTGTCATCTTCTGCTCTGTATGCTGGTTTTGGATTTTTAAAATTTTCGTAACTGGTTGGTACATGACGCAGATATCCTTTGCGTATAGCCCACACAGTGATAGATACCATGGCTGCCACGCCTATGAAAGCACACAAAAGACTTAGTCCAATGGTGAGGCCTACGCGCAGTGATTCATTTCCTGGAGGATACGGGGCAGCAGGAGTTATCTTCCCTAATAATGACCAAAATAAAATTAGCATTAAGTACGAAATACAACAACGTCCACACAGAAACAAATAGTGCTTAACATACTGTGACATTGTTTTCTTTTGATTAAATTTTTTTCCACTTTTATCAAAAGCTTGAAGCAGAAAGTTTGGACTTTTTCACGGTTGTTAAACAGCCTGATCATATTATTTTCAAGGTATTTTTTTAACATGATTATGTTCTATTTAAAAAAAAACAGCAACACATTAGAGACCCTGAAAAATAACACCCTTTACAGTGCTATATTGTAGTAAACATAGTGAGGCAAAAATATGTGATATTAACCAAAATGTACCAGCCTATAAAATGTTTACACAAAGACATATGACATGATACCCCTTTAAAGGAATACTCACACAAACATATTGGTTGTAACTATAAACAGAAAAACAGACTTTCATCTTTACTCAACGTAATATTGCTTGTTTCTTAACTAAATTGTAACGTGTTTAAATGAAAAATGTTAGTAACAAAAATATTTTGTCTTTGACAAGCTATCGTCTAAATACACTTCTATAACAAAACATATAATGTGTTAAAATCATTTACCTGTGTGATCTTGACTTTAGACCAAATCATGACTAAGTCACCCTCTTTTCCATTAAATTCCACGGGATGATTTCAACACTATAAGCTTATTTTTAACAGAGAAAACCAAGTATCTTACCATTATCTGCAGAAAAATTGAATCCTTGAAAAAAGTTTCCATCTGGCTTTGTAGCGTTGCCTCGGAAAATCCAACCGTCATAGCCCGATTTCCTGCTCAGGTAGCCCACTAACTGGAATTCAGCATTGGGACCAAAAATGGGGCTGGATTTTGTAAGCTTTGTCATAGTAAATATGATCCTAGTATGGGAAGTATCACTTCCATAGAAATAACCTGAAAAAAAAATTATCTCAAAATTCAGTATTTAAAGATATACCAGTATTTGGTAGTGGTGTTTGCAGCAAACAAAAGTCTTTTGTTTGTAAAAATTTAGCCCCATCTTCAAATAAAACACAGACTGAAAAGCTCCGAGACCTTCATCACTTTTCTTTTAATTGTTCAAGCAGTTGTATTTGTTTTTATGAAAAATTTTTAAAGCAAGATTTTTTTCAAGGAAACCAAATCTTTTGTTCCATGCTTGGCTGAAATTTGAAAATTGCTTCTGGTGAGAATTAGTCAAAAATATGTCACTGTCACTTATAAGACAGGTAAGCAATTCAGCAATTGACCTTTGACCTTTCAGTCAACAAAGAGGATAGCATTAAGGCTTGCTATAATCCTTATGTATAAGCCTTCTTATTGTTGTCATTTTGTTAAGTTGGCATATGTTGTGAAAAGTGTTGATATGCTATCCTTTATTCATTACTTCAGAAAAAATACATAGACAATTCCCCTGCTATTTCTAGTTCTTAAGAAGTTTTTGAGAATATGAATCTGTCATTAACTATTTGATTTGGAGTTTAATTTCTCACACTTTCACATTGCATGAGAAGTAAGGAACATTTTTTCACAATATTTTATTTCAAATTTTGATTTGAAATATCCTTTTGAATAGTTTCATCATATGTTTTTTATAGATTGCATAACAATTAAGAAAGTGGACTGAAATAATATGAATATTTCAAAGTCAGCTGAAATGTGTGTGGGGGATTGTACAATTACAAACCAGAGATGTCGAATTCTGCATTGCCATCAGAAAATGTTGCGTATATTCCTGCATGTGCGTCAACTGAATTCACAGTAAAACTACACAGATAGCTGTGGAAGCTGTATTTGTAAGTTCCGTTCCAATATGTGAAAGTGTTGAAAATGTCTACCCAAGTTTTGCTGGCATCACTGGCAGCATCTGTAAAAAGAAACCAGGAAATATCTTGTAACTGACAATGATGAATAAATACAGTCATTAAATAATAGTGCATTGTTTTAACTGTGCTACATTTTTTTTAAATGTCATGGACTAAAAACATAGTTAAGGATGATTTCCACCTTTAAACCAAAAAAAGTGCAATGGCATCAATCTGTGCCTAGAGAAAGCCTCATTATATCTAACAATGACTAGATAGGGATCAATAAGGGTTTCCCCTGACCAACAAAAAAATCTTAAGTTTTACTTCTTAATAGACAAAAGACCCCTACACTCATAAATTTGGAGTACCCATGGAAAACTTTGACTTGTTATATACATATATGTATAAATGTAAGCAGAGGGCACTCCATCATATCTACCTGTGACTTGAGCCCCAATGTAGACACATGTGACTTAAAAGTGAATTATTTCATATTTGTGACTAGATAAAGCTGTCTAGTATATACCCATGATTAGAGAAAGCCCTCTTGTATACACCTGTGACTAGAGAGCTCTTTTGTATCTACCATTGACTAGAGAGAGCCCCATTGTATCAACTTGTGTGACATCGTTCCTATTATATATACATGTTAATAAAGTTTGCAAGGTTCATAGCTCCATTAATAAATAGGGTCATATTGAGGTGGAGTGGCTACCTTACAGAATAACCTATGGAAGGCCCATCGCATGTCATCCAGATTGGTAAGGGTAAAGAGGTTTGCTGAGGTCACTTATACCTCAACAAATAACGGTCAAATTCTCAGCTTCCCGAAAAGCATAAAACAGTCACGGGATCTCCAACTAAGGTCACGTAGGTCAACTCTCCAAGGACTGAACTATTGAAGCAATCTTGTGATTTAAGAGTAACATTGTATGCACCTGAGGCTAGAAAGTCACATAGTATGTACCTGTGGCTAGAGAATGCCCAATTACAAACAGAAGGCTGGTGATGAGATTGATGTTTCGATGAAATTCCACTACCACTGTCATCCTTTCTGATGTTGTACCTCCGGTTAACCAAGCAGTTTGACCATGCCACTGTCCATTCTGTAAAGTATAAATACATATATGTAAATCACTCAATTATGGCAAGTGGTGTGCAGCAGTTTCTGTCTATCATAATTCTATCTTATGTTCTAAATCTTAATAATCAAATGCATCTTTACAAGACTGAATAGTTTTTTTTTTGTTTATGTTTTTTTGTTGTTCAAGCATTTTTCTTCTGTTCTGTGTTTTCAAGGCAGTTCAAGTAAAACTTCTGTACAGCCTCTCTGTCACAACTAAAGATGATAATAACTTTATCAGTCACACTTATTGGCTCAAAGTAAAGCATGCAGGGTGTCCCATTACTTACAGGACAATTTCATGGAGAACTTCATAGCCTATTCTTTTAACATATAACAAAACTCCTCATTTATCATGAAACAAACGAAGACATCTTTCAAATTTGAGACTGGTATATTTGAGTTTTATCTATCAGATTACCAGTTATCGCTTCTTCAGCATCAGTTGTTACCTGATATCAGCTGTTTTGACGCTTTTTTAATGATAATTCTATGCTATCTGGTTGGGCAGTATAAAAAAACATGGTAAAACTTAAATGGTTCATTGAACCAGTGCCTGTTCAAACACAGAAATCTACACGATTCTTGTTATTTTAGAAGTATAATTGCGATATTTTACATATAGAACGTCCGATCCCTGTGGTTTAAATGACTTTTGAAAGTCTTCAGGGTAGGAATTTCGCCTACCAAATTGGGGAGCGAGTTCCACGAATTATGCTTTCTGTATCTGGTGTTTGTGATTTTCTGAAGAAGAATGAAGTGCTGTCTATCATGACTGGGGATCATAAATGAATTCTGACAAATCCATCTTTCTCATCCACCATCTCATATACTTAATGGGTAATTAAGTCGTCCAAACAAACCCTTGTGGTGTAACATATGCAAAGTCAACCACCATGAATACTTACTTCCTCTGATTCGCCTTTTTGTTGTTTATGGTGCTACTTGATTTGTCGATAACAAGTACTTATTGTTAGGAGCGGCACGCACTAGATATAAGAATGTTTTAAGAAGAAGAGTAGGCTTTCATCGGTACAGATTTTAAAGGATTTCAAGAACAGTCAGAGGAAACAATACATTGTAATATAGATATTTTCTACAATACCAATATGTTAAACTTTAGCGATATCAACCATATACGTCTCTGTACCAACCAAGGACGTCCCAATATTAATGCTTGATACCTACTGTAGAAATTTACACCACTGTTGTGTAGTAAGAAGTATTTTCATAAGGGGGTTATTTTGAAATTCTAATTCCCGCATTCTTTTTACCACTATGTTATATTATAACTCTTTCATCTTCTACGTTGACTTTAGGTAATAATATGTAACGTTGCTCTCAAATCGAACCGACCCATTCAATTCATCCGGTAGTGTCTAATGTCAGAAATGAAAATGTCATAACTCGGTTAATATTGCACAAAGCTGATTCAAAACTCAATAAAATGTCTATAGACAACCTGACTTCAATGACCAACAAAACATTTTCACAATATCAAGTTCTATTTTGGCCGATCCGTTTGTGTTTTAAACACTTTTGTCCCTTTTTCAGCGAATGCCTCTCTGTTTTACCATCCTTAATCGCGCAAAAGAATTTTGAAATATTTACTTTTTAACAAAATGTACACGTACACTGTTTAGGGAGAAAATCAGGAGGAAAGTTAATCAAATCAAAGCTAAACAGTCTTTTAAAGCAGCAAGCAATTTTCTCGTTTTACCAAAGTAATACGATCTTTAGCTCAGTTATGTATAAATTTATTCCTTACATTAGAACTGCCCAAAATATATTCGGAATACACGCTCTCGGTCTGTAATGCGCTTAGATTTTGTTTTGCGAAATTTCTTGATAGTCAAACATTCATCTACATTTGTCTCATTGCCGGAAACCCTTGGACTTTTTCTATCCGTTATCGTAATCATGTGATGCAAGACGATGAAACTTCAGTGACAAGTTTCGTTCAGTAAGCACGAAGAAAAACTCAAGATGAAGAAAAAGGTATATTGGAATAATCACTCGAAGAGGTTTTCCATATATTGATATTCATTACGAAAGATTATCGACTCCAATTACAGTACTGACTGCTAGTGTAACCCCATCTTGGGTTCGAGATGCACTGGAACGCATCTAAGATGGCTTTCATCTCGGAGTATATAAGAAATCCTCTGAATTTTACATATTGATGTACTTTTAAGTGATTAAGAACATTTTAGAAAGAACACTCAAAATGACATTTTCCAATCGCTTGCAAATTATGAGTTACTTATTTTGTAACTTTAAGCAAGGATTTCCCCTGGGGCCCTAAAAAATTGAAGAGCCAGTGACTCAAATCGAACATGATATAGAGTAAATCTGTATCATTTTTTAAGGCTCCTTTGTCAATTCAACGGGTCAAAATGCAGGTTTTTGAAAGTCACCTAAACTCTAGTTTAAGCTACTTTATATTGGCTATCTTATAATAACTTTATGGAAACAATTTTGGAACAAAAACAATGACAGAAGCAATATTTATTATAAACACTAGGAAAAATGTTGAGACAGAATAAGTAAAAACACATTCCTGCTGAACCACTTGACAGGAATCAAACTAGATATTCTAGTGTAATAATCCATTGCTCTACCAACTGAACTAAAGAAGCATGGTCTGTCATCGGAGTGACAGATACTGCATTTAACACTATAGTTACAAACAACACCAATGTATTTCTTTTACACAATTCATAATAGCTTTGTTTCTTTCATTATACAAATGATTTCTCGCAAGTAATGCTTGATGCAAACAAGATGTATTCATGATCATCTACTCAGATAGTCAAACACAGCATTTAGAGACATCCACCTTTCATATACCTGTGGAAATATTGAAAAAATATTTTCAAAATTTCAACATCATAATTTATGAAAGTGTAAAATCTAAAATCTGTTAATCAAATCACCAATGAATGCTAAACTAAAATTTCCAGCTTTATATCAAACACCAAATATTAACTTCCAGTTTTCTGTGCCAGATCACAAAATATTTCCACCATACACTGACACATTGTGGATAGTCTTGTTTAGCTGCACTTTTTTGACTAGGTTACCGTTATTTTAACAGTTTACTTCAGATGTCAGGAAGAGCTTCAAATTCATTATTTATATAGAATGGTTTTCAAAATTTAGAGTTGAAGATTGAACAAGCACCTGTCAATTCTTACAGGTGTTACTCATGGGAAAGAGTGGGTCTGGAAAGACCAGCATGAGATCCATCATCTTTGCCAACTACATAGCCAGAGATACTCGCAGACTGGGAGCTACAAGTAAGTCTGAACTCAAAATGAAAACTTACCAATATTAAATTATCATTCATTTAGTATGGTCAAATCAGTATATCATATTTGGATCATATCAACCTTTAAGGATTGAAATATTTAAATATAATATTAGCTCATCTTTAAAGGGACTAAATGGAAGATTTTCATTTTTATAACTGATAAAAAACATCATAACATTTAGGTATCAGTAAAAAGTTGTGAGCTTTCTGTTAATGAGTAAATTTAAAATTTGCTTAACCGTTTTTTTTTAAATGCTAAAAAAACAAAATGAAATAGGAGCATGATGTGGGGAAATTTTCAAATCATAACAAAGTGGCAGATTAAAACAAGGTTCTGAAAGGTCACATGATAAACTTGATTATCTCTGATCAAAACAGTGAATGGTGGCAGACACCACAGTGAGTGTCAGCCAGCATTAGTTTGAAGCTGATTATCTATAACAATTTTTCTCAAAAAGTGCTTTAATTTTGTGAAGAGTCTAATTCTACTTATTACAGTGATTGCCCAAATTGAAACGCACCAAAAAAATAACGAAATATAACCATTTAGTCCCTTTAAGAATAGATTGAAGGAAACTGTTGCCTTTCAGTTCTTATATTTATGTCAAAAATTTAGGGATAATGTACATTGTATATAAATATGGTTTCTTTAAATTTCTGATACACAATATGAATATGTTTGTATATAAGACTTCTGTAATGATCTTAAGAATACCTGAATAGTTCCAATTTGAGAAAGAAATTTTGATACTTTCCAGAAAGTAGGGAGGAGGGAAGTTATGATTTACTGAGCCTGGAAGACAAAAGATCACAATCTCATTAGGGGCTGAACCTGATTTTTCTAAGCTTAATAAAATTAATGCATGTTATTTTGTTCTTTACAGTTGATGTGGAACATTCTCATGTCCGTTTTCTTGGAAATCTTGTTCTAAATCTCTGGGATTGTGGAGGGTATGTATCTCCAGTTTTATGGGATGTCTCAGAACAACTAGATCTTTTTTTGTACTGATAATTACCATACTTAACCTGTAATAAATCATACCAGGCTTAGGGTTATTGCTGTATAAATATACCAGTGGTAGTAATAGTTTCAATGTTAACATATATAGTTACGTAATCCAGAAATGACTTTTCAGGGAAATTTTCACGTTTACAATACTGTCTACTTTTGCCCTTTTGTACTGTAGGGGAAAAATGTAAGGTGATCGTATTGTGCTAAAGCTGTAAAGTAAATTTCAGTATATGTAAGGATGATTTAAGACTAAGAAAAAAATTAACATTTTTATGTATGAGTTAAGTTTGGGCAATTGTTTTCCTACTTTAATTTCCCGTTTGTCATGGAAGTTTTGTTCTCTAAACATGATTTTCTTTTTTGTATGTTTTCAGTCAAGAGGCATTTATGGAAAGCTACTTTGCAAGCCAGCGTGACAACATATTTCGTAATGTAGAGGTACTAATCTACGTTTTTGATGTAGAGAGTCGAGAGCTTGAGAAGGATATGCATTATTACCAGTCCTGCCTTGAGGCCATCCTCCAGAATTCTCCTGACTCTAAGGTCTTCTGTCTGGTACACAAAATGGACCTTGTTCAAGATGATCAGCGAGACTTTGTAAGTCTAAAACTAATACGAGTACAATGAAATGCTCCAGTATCATGGATAGTTTATAACATACATATACATAGTATATATTTGTTTGAAAAGTATATGAACAACATATACCGGGTATGTCATTTTTCTTGAGATATATTATTTGAGAGAAATCATTTGTTGGAATGCAATTATTTTGTTCAGATATTATTAAACAGTTCAAGGACTTGAGTAAGTCTACTGCTAGTGTAAGGCAGTTTATATCAGTGGAAATTGATGTTTTCTATTGTTCGCAGTGGTTTAATATGTAAATGCAATATTCAACATCTTTTCATGATAGAATGTAAAGTTTGCCAAGATCTACAATACAACATTCACCAGAATTTGGATATTAACATCTTGATTTTCTGAATGTACATATTTGTACTGGTATGTGCATATATGAAATTCACATAAATCAACTTTCCATGTCTGAAATAGATATTGATAATCATATATAATGGTTAGCATTTTTGTTGTTCATTTGTTGGGTTTATTGCCCTTTGAATTGACCAGGTCAGGTCAATTTAAGGCCGAATTCTCCTGTAGCCACTAGTGCTACCTCACTGAACATTATGTTGAAGGTCTACCACATATTTTACAGAGCAATTTTGACAGTCTTGCTCAAGGTCACAACTAAAACACTGAAGGATGTTTGGTGATCTGAGGAGACACAGACAAGATGATATACACTAATTGTTATAATACCTGAGAATTATATATATTTACTTTATTGCTATAGAAGGTAAATAGTAGGGCATACTTTGAGATGAAATCTTATTCTAATTGTATCTGTAGATATTTCGAGAGAGGGAGGAAGATCTCAAGCGCCTGTCTAAGCCATTGGACTGTACATGTTTTGCAACAAGCATCTGGGATGAAACACTCTACAAGGTAAATTTTATATCCCTTTCACTCTGTCAAAGGATTCAGTGTTTGTCTTATCTTCAACATTATCAGTAGTGGAAAATTTAACAATTGTACAAATGCATATTTTGTGTTTGTTATTATCTGATTCTGTATTGATTGTTACTACAAGACAACTCCTCTATCAGTCAATGCCATGGTATCTGGGTTAGTAGGGTTTGACATACCAATGACTGATAATTTTAGTTATTTTGTCTGTGAAATGTCAAGATATTTTGGCAAAATTGTCAAAAAGTTTTCATTTTGGCCATTGGACACATGTTTCCTGTACATGGACTGAATTGACTCAGATACCCAAAGTTGCATTTAGGAGGAAAAAATGAAAAATTATTATATAAACATGTTTACTAAACAGCTGTTCCCTTCAACTATTTAAATACAGAGATCTTAGTGTGAAAATCCTCATCAAAATGCAGAATTTAATATGTAGGATGACTAACTAATAGGATGATATTGTAGTATATTGTTGTTGATTTTCTTCCAACAGGCATGGTCAAATATTGTCTACCAGCTCATCCCAAATGTACAACAGATTGAAAGCAACTTGGCAAATTTTGCCAACATCATAGAGGCAGATGAGGTTCTGCTATTTGAAAAGGCCACATTTCTGGTAAATATTGTGTATAGTTCATATACCCTGACATCTTTTGTTTATAATCGTCCAACAGCCAGTAATTGTAAGCCAAATACAATTCAGATCTATAGATTAATTCCATAAGTTTACATTTACTTTTGAATATTTACCTATTATTTTGATTAAGTATGAGAGCAAATCTCATCAGTGAATTTATGGAATGTGTCAGTTAGGCAGGTAGTTATATGCAGCTCTATGTTGTGATCTGTTTCCTGTACAATGTATTTGGTTAAAATCTGAAATATAGTTGTGTACTGATGGCATCTTCAGCATGACTTAATCAGGTGAAGGGATAGGAATGATTTTCAATCTTCAAATCTCTGTATAACATATTTCTAAACTAGTGAATTTGTTACTAAGGCTGAGGTTAACCAAATACTCTGCATTTGCCTCTTCTTGTATATATTGGAATAATCATGAATTGAAATTTAAAAATAAATGCTGAATGCATTTTAGAAGAATGTGGCACATTGACATGAGGTGTAAAACAATTTGGTAAAATCTTTTAAATGACCCAACAGGAGACATATGAGGGTCTCTTACATGATAACCCATGATTCTGCCCTCTGCCATCAGCTACAGATCATGCTTAACTTGGTGTTAAAGTCACATCACTGACTCGCTACCTCTACAATTTACACCAAGGAAGTATTCAGGGATAATGATGTGATGGTAAACAAGATGAATATTACCTGGTATGTATTTATGGTTGATTTGTTGCAGGTGATCTCTCATTGCGAACGAAAACAGCACAAGGATGTCCATCGATTTGAGAAGATCAGTAATATCATAAAACAGTTCAAGCTAAGTTGTAGTAAACTTGCAGCAAATTTCCAAAGCATGGAAGTGCACAATTCGACCTTCTCCGCCTTCATTGAGGGCTTCACCTCGAACACCTATGTCATGGTTGTAATGTCAGATGGATCCATACGTAAGTCTCTATTGATCTGTAAAACAAGATAAACAAATAGTTTTTATTGATAATACTGTAAACATACTTCATTTGGTACAGTCAGACTTTAGCATTATCATATTTTGGCAAATAAGTGCAACGATAAATTTGTATATCCATAGTAAGTACTTTATAAGCAGTATAAAGAAAGTGCAATTAGCAAAATATTATTTTAATGCAATACTTTCAATGCGAAATCTCTAAAATAAGATCACCTCTAAAATCTATACATTTGCAGTATCCTGTTGGGTTGAACATATCTTATAAACAATACCTCATCCACTATCAAGAGCATTAAATAAGGAAATAAAAACACGTATCTTTATCACATACTTTGTGTACACCTAGACTGCTAGGAGGTTTCATATAAAAAAGCATGTACTCATTAAAACTTCACTGTAGAGGTGTAACAATGAGATGAAGTTGGTAATAATGATCCTTTTGAATGTGATCACTGAGATTGTCCTTAGGCTTCTCAGTAGAAAATCTTCTGCTTTACTTCACAGTAGATTATTTCATTATGTTGTACTCTGTCTCTCCAGTAAGAACTTCTGCATATGTAATTGTTACAGTAATACATGTGTTGCCTTAAAATTTGAACCATCTGTAAAAAAAAAAAGATATTAGAATTAGAAGAACTAACCTTTATTTTACAACAATTTGAAACAGGTTTTTCCAACTTATATTAATCAATTTTGTTTGCCAAAATGGAAGTTTGAGGAGTCTTACTGTGATAAAAAGCCAGATTGTGATTGGGAGGTTATCCAATACCTTTTCACATCTGTGTTGGGAATCAAACCCCAGGTTTTTTAATCTTACATGGACAGCAGTCTTGCTTTTACAATTAGCGTACTTAAATATTGAAAAATCAATTCATCAGAAAAAAAATCATGTTTCGCTTTTTCTGTTACAGCTTCAGCAGCAACATTGATTAACATCAAAAATGCTAAAAAGCATTTTGAGAAATTGGAAAGAATGGAATCCAACCATCATCCAATTACTGCAAGGTGAAGACATGAAAAAGGACGCAGTGAATTCCAGTCTTGATATTTATAGCCAGTTCTCATGGAAACTCTCATCAGAATTTCTACCAGTAACAAACTCATGTACAATGCTCTCTTAACTGGACCATGCAAGTCCTTTAAATACAGTTTTTTTTTGGACCTTACTACATTTAGTATAGACTGCAGACTTTTTTCTCAGGTTTTTTTTTCAACTTGAAACATATCAGTATAGGGAGATACATTGAAAATTGTATCAATAGTAAGATTCCTAAGCAATTTCATGACATTTTTTGAACAATAATCCTTCCTGCTGCAAACTTTTAGCAAATTTAAAAAATTGGAACCATCAAGAAAATGATCCTTTGTTATATTTTAGACAATAAAGTAACTTTATATACCCTGGCAGTATGGTTTTCAAGAGAGAGAAAAAAACCTGTGTGTCTTAAAATTATAGATTCTCATTAAAATGCTTATGATATTTCCCAGTACAATTTCTCATTGGAATCCCTGTGTCAGGTATTTGGTCTGTAGACTTGTATTAGAATTGGTTTGTACAAAATGGTTTCCATTTTTATGATTTCTGACGGCTGACAGTAAAATTGCATGGTAGAATATTAATGGTTTATTCAGAAGCCCTTTGTTTGGTAAGCACTATAGTATAGTTGCTTATTGGAAGCTTGATAGAAATGTTGGGACAAACGTTTTGGAAGCTTGTTCACCTGGACATTAAGGTTACTAACTGGAGCATTATGTTGCCAAATTGTACATAAGGATTCTCAGTGGAACATTGATAGGTATGGCAATAGGGTTACTTAGTGCAACTTCATTGCGATAAACAGTATGGTTACTCAGTTAAACTTTACCACGATTGACAATATGGTGATTCAGTGAAACATTACAGCAAGACAAGAAGGTTAATAAGTGGAATCTTACTATGATTGACAATATGGTTATTTAGCGAAACATTACTACAATTGACAATATTGTTAATAAGTTATCATGATTGACAATATGGTTTAGTGAAACCTTACTGCAATTGACAATATGGTTATGCAGTGAAACTTTACCATGATCAACAGTATGATTACTTAGTGAAACCACTCAAGGTTGACAATACAGTTACTAAGTGGATCTTTGTTGTATGAGGCACTGTGGATCATTAATTTTGCAATAGATTATGTAAGGTTATACTCATGCGACTAGATGAAATTGTTACTCAGTGGAACCTTGTTGGGCCCTTGTATAGTTACTTATTGGAGCCTTGTTAGGATTGACATAAGGTTACTCAGTGGGCCTTGTATTTACACACTGGATGGGTTTGCTTGTCTGATGTGGTATGTAAATACATTATATCTTTATTTGAAAAATCTAAGAGAGCTTTTGTGACTGAAACATTATTGAAAATTTGTGTAATAGTTTACTTTTTAATAAATTGCATTTATACAAACTTTTTGCAATGATGTAGATAATAAAAGATTTTACAAATGAATTGTATCATCATTAAGAGATGTATTGACAATTGAATGACGAAGGTATTGTATTTATAGAATGTAAACTTGTGAAAAAAGAATCTATTCTGAAATGATTCTAGAAACAGGCACAATTTTACAAATTGTGTTTGGTTTGAGGTGATCTTTACCATATGCAATGTTGTCTCTATGGTTAAATTAAAGTTACTGTAAAATCACTTATTTTTGTGAGGGATTTATTTTCATTGGATTTTTTGGGTACTCTTACTCACGAATTTATATCTACAAAATAATAAACGAACATGGATGATAGTACTAGTGGATTTCGTGAGCAAGATTTCACACAAAATCAAGTGCTAACAAAAATGTATATTTTTGGAAAATCACAAAATTTCAGCCCCATGCAAAATATTGGATTTTACGGTAAAAAAAAATGAAACATTGTAATGAAACTGAAACCAGATACTATAACATGACATTGTGTTTTGTCTTCTGTATATGATTGATACTAATATGTTATACACTGTTAATTAATACAAATATAATGTGGATAATATTATGAAGAAATAAAAACATGTGATATTTTGAAATTTGTGTTTTTAGTGTCTCTCAAAATAATTGAAATCTGAAGTTTAAAGTGGCTTTTAGAGTCTTATTCAAAATACTTCTTTTATTTTCTTCTATGATACACAATCCTATCTGTAATTACAACTTGTTTGTGATCAAGTTTTAGGAACATGTATATATCGTATCTTTCTTGCAATAAGACCAGGGAATTACTCATCACTTACTCAAAGTTAGCGGATGACATTATTTTGAGACAATGAATAAACATTCACCTGTAATTTAATGGTCAGTTATATGATGGATGGGCTTATTACCAGACGTTTTATCACATTTATGTTTATTGTTATGACATAGACTTCTGGATTGTTTACAATCGTGTGCTAATGTGTATGATAGAGGACCAAGTCACTTATTTATCTTAATTGGAGCTGACTGTCGATGGCCATACTTTTCTAGTAATAAGCCGGGGTATGTTAATTAGCCCACATACCTTTTTGATTGTCTGCAGAGTAAACCAAATAATTCTAATTATAGTCCTGTATTAAACCCACTGACTGACTTCAAATGCCATGGTGATGTACTAGCAACCCATTTCTGTTTGATGCTCAGTAGAATGATGTTATTTCTTTGTCCTATAATAAGCCCATCCCCTGATTCTGGTCCCTGGGCTTATTTCAGTGTAAATGTGGTAATTACTTCCTCAGTTAACAATATTGTGATGATATTTCAAGATATTATTGTAAGTTGCTGTAATATTTTAAGTCACATGAGATCAGGTCTCTTGAAAACGTCTTTTTTATTTTGTATAATGGTAAAAAAAATTATATTGTGTAAATAGATGCCATTATGGAAATGCGAAACAAATGAGTGCTATTTTTCCACTTTTTATGTACATTTTGTATATGATAATATATGTTACTTGTTATAATCTCAAGTTATATCAGTGTTTGTAAGTTTTGGGACAAAATCTGAAATCATGGTTATGTTCTGAATGTTACAAAATTAGAACTTGATTTCCTCTGTTTTTTAAGATTCCTTTCTCATTTCTTGTAACTTTGTGTAAAATTTATCGTTCTTGAAGTTTTTTCTCTTTGATTAGAAAACATTTTTGGTATCCCTGCAATAGTATTGCTTGTTATGCTATATGTTAAGCATTGTGTTACTTTTATATTAATATTGAAAATGTGAAACGCTTTTCAGATAACTTTTATGTCAAAGGTTTAAAAATACAGTCTGTAATTCATTAAATGATTGACATTCTGAGTTAGAACAGCTAAAATATTACACACCCTATTTAGTTAACAGGTAGGAGGGTTTAGGGGAATATATAGAATCACTTTGTGCATCTGTCTGTATATACAAATATTGTGTACAAGATATCTCATGAGCACCTTGACAGAGTTAGTACATGTTTACAACTTAGCATCACACGATCAGATTCTAAACTTAATCAGATTTTTGTGGTCATCAATCAACTGTAATTGTCAACTGTCATCATTGACCACTTTTGAAAATATTTGTGTAAATGATATCTCATGGCTCCCTGAACAGATTTAATATAGATCAGGGATTGGAGACTGTATCTATGGTGTGAGCTCCAGCTCACTTTTTTTGTATTTCAAGATAAGTAAGTAATTTGTGATTTCTAATATGATTACAATAGATAGGAGAAAAACAGAATGACAGGGTGCCAAAAATGGGGTGTGTCAACCAACCAACCATTAGTCTGTTCTGGAGATGTACATTTAATGAACCATAGTATCTAATCAATACTTTAGTTTTGTATTCTTTTTTCACAGCATGGAATTCAAACATATGAATGTATAATATATTTGTGATCACATTTTTTATTTCAAAGTCAGTAATACCGAATGTGCCATAACTATTTTCTGAAATTAAAACAAATTTTTTCCACTAATTTCATGGTTTTCACAGGATGTCTATGTGCATGGTCACCATCGGTCCTGAGTTGCTAACTGTTTTTTTGCATGACATTAATTTTTTTTATCTTTAGTAGACAAAAGATGGTCTTACAATCAATTTACCTGCTTTTGTAGGCATGTATAGACATGTATTTACTGTTAATAAATGGCAAGTCCACTGGATGTTTAAATGACGTACAATTGATTAAATACATGTATATTTGCACCATACATGTTTCCTGTTTTTCATTTATTATGGTTTTCCAAGATATGTTTGGCCATTAGGTATGATGATTTCAAAACTGGATACTTTCCTTGTGGTCAGGTTGGTTATTACATGGGGATTTATTATTTATCAACCTGACATTTTTCTGAGGGTAAATAGGCTTTGGAAAGATATCATGCTCTCGGGTTAATAAATCTTCATATTCACCTGAAAACAGGTCAATAATTGTTTTATTATATGCAAACAATGCACAATTCTGATTGGTCAAAAACTGCAGCACAAGTTATTTATTCATCTGTGAGACACCCAACAGGGCATTTGGACCAATATTCACCTTGTATGCATGAATTCTGCCTGTTTCTGTGTAACATAGCAATATGTTTAGTTCTTCAAGATTTGTTTTGGCCAATCAGCATGCAGTAAAAATGGATCATTTAAAACAAATTAAGTAGACCACCTTTCAGTATTTGCTTAAGTTGAAGTTTAAAGAAATGTAGCCTGTAACCTATCGAAGTTGGATACTGAGGTCACGTCTAACTTATAGAATAACTAACATTTTGGTTTTCCAGCCAAATCTTGTTTCTTTTGGCCTATCATGAACATGTGGTACGTTGGTTGTTTGTATGAAGGAGATGCATTGGATTGGTTAAGTCAAAAGGTCAATAATCATTGTAAGAAGTTTCTCAATTTCCTCTTGGAGACTAGCTACTCAACTGCAATCAAAAGAACTTTGTTCAAGATGTCATCAATAGAAACCAAACCGAGGATTCCGATTGGTTATAATCTGACTAGAATGAAATTGTATCTATTAGTTACAATCCAACGAAAATGATATTGTATTTAGCCTATTGAAAAGACTGCAAAAGTTCTATTCAATGTTAAGTTCATTCTTGACCAAGGACACTGCCATCATTGTACATGATATGACTATAAATACTTATTGCTTATCATTGTGACCTTGACCTTGTATATAATTCAAGAGTATTCAGACAAGCTCCATATATAAGTCCCTTACATTTGAAGCCACCTGCAAGGATATACAAAAAAAATCACACAAACATTAGTCAAAATCAAGAATTTATTGTTCAAAATTATTTTATTTTAAATATTCATTAAACAAAACATATCAATGATGCCAAGAAAAAGGACAGTAAAACTATAGTTATTTCACAAGATAAAACATTGAAAATAATATTCCTTTAAAACAATGTTTCAAGTAAAACACTACAGAACTTGATCTAAATTGTTTTCTTTATAATATTCCACTGAAAACACTTTAAATCAAGAAATATCAAAGAGTTAAATACAAATTTCCTAAAAAAAAAAATGTCTAAATGTTTAAGAAAAACGAATCTCTTGTACAGTGTACTAGTTTATGTTCCATTATTCCAACCCCATATATTTTTTAAATACTCTGAACTGATGCAAAACATCATGATTTTCTTACCAAGTTAATTGTTATTGAATAGGAAGTATAAAATCAGACACAGCTAACACACACCAATATCATACACTAAAGAAATTGTGCAATGTTCTTGTCTCTGTTGCCACAAAAGTTCATTTGCTGCATATGTGTGTTAATTTTAAGTCAGGATTTAAATGGGACTGTAACAACAAAGAATGAAAGAAAGGCAAGAAAGAAGATGAAGAAAAAGAAGGAATGACACAGAATAAGGACAGTTTATCAAGAACTGACACGGAATTAGAAAGTCTCTCTCCTTTACATAGCTTTACATACAGGAAGTTTGTGACATGTGTACTCCGTGAAAGCTATTACATGTATTTTAATCACAAACAACATCAACATAAACATGTACCCAGTTATATTCTCACTCATATCTCCTATGTAATTGTTTCATCTGAAATTACAAAATTTAAAAATTTCAGATATCAGAATTTGAAATTCCTCACCAAAGTGTGGAACACTCTTTTTTATATAAAGGATGCCATTTCCTTATCCATACATCAGAATGCCAATACATAGTAGCCACGACATGAGACACGACTAAAACTGACTACAAATGTACCACAAACCAAATTAGGAATGCTGACACCTTGGCTATTGAGGGGAAAGCACTCCCTTCTCGTCCTACTCTTGTCCTACTCTTCATGCCTACTCCCTAGTTAACTCATACAGCCACTACTTATTGTTCCCTCAAGACCACATACCCTCACACAAATTGACATCACCTATTCATATATCATTCTCTTTGTAACTGAACAAATTTCCACTTATTCACTCTTATCCCGACTCAAACAAGCACTCACAACCATAACACCTCACTTTTGTTTTATAAAAATCTCCACAAGGCCCATAAGGTAACTGGTTCCCTAACTATTGAGATATGTAAGACACAAAACTCTGTTTGGTTAAAATTTTTTCAGAGGAACACATATCCTTAAAGACTTCAAGAATCTAACAATCGATTGAGAGAGCGTTACTTATTGGGATAAGTAAATCAAATAATTACACTATCACCTTTCCTATATAATGTTTTAGTTGAGATATGATACACAGGAGTATACATGTATTAACGATGTTTGGTCCATACTCCATTAATACATTAGTTTGATTTACTACTCTATATTTACAAAGTCTGTTTACACATCTGCGGTCATACTTTAACTTGAGACTAGGAACATTTCTATCATCATGGAAATTTACATTACTACATCAATCTAAGATTAGCCCAAACATTTAACAACAGAATTGTGCATCTGCTTTTGAACACCAACAAAGCTATAGACAGATAAAATTATCTAATGTGTTTTAAATAGATATGTGGAAAAGTATATTAGCATATAAACATATAGATATATAAAAGCCAGCAATGAATAATTCTAAAGTTAGAATTAAAACTGTTCACATTTAAAAACCTTCAACACTATCACTACCATAAAACAGATAATCTACAGAACTATATGTCTAACAGATATTGAAGTATTGATTATTAAAGTAGCCCAAAATCATAAGTGAAATGGAAAAATTACTTTTAAGAATGAAATCTTGCCAAAATTTTCATGGTGCGTAAAAAAATCCATTATCTTTCGAGAAAAAAATTACTTAAAACATCCTAACCTTGATCTGTTTGTATTATTTTACCAGAGCTAACAAAATTTAGTTACTAGAGTTCATTTATCTCTTAAACTTAACTTAACAATGGTTGAGATTACTGATGGAAGTAACATCTTTGTCTTATTTCAAAACAAATTTTCCCTGCAATTAAACTTGGCTTGTAAAAGTATGAAAAAAATAAGAATTTTCATCTCTAGTCTAACATCCCCAATTAATGACAGGCAATTGCTCCAGTTTTTTACTAAGCATGTTAAAGCTATCATTCCTTCAAAAATTGCTGTATTTATCAATATATTTTTCTTTCTAATTATTTGTTATTTCAAAAACAATTAGCAACATGGGACCAAAATTTAGTTTTAATCTGTATTTTAGGTGCACAAATTCCTTGGAAATAAGAAGTTATGATTTAAGTAATATCATATTCAGATATGTATACAAATCATAACCAATGGTCATTCACTTTACATCCATTAAAAACTTCCTCAAAAAGCCATACATTTCTACAGGTTTTTGACCATTTTAACATTGATACATTTAATCTTGTTCTCATGATATCAAAGCTTAATCGTCAACAGGGTATCTGTGCAGATTTATGCTTTAACAAAAAGGCTTCGTGAAATATACCAAAACATAGGACACATTACTGCACACTTTCATGTTGTCATGTTTAATCAGCTGTTGGAATAATAGCAAACCAAACTGTGTAATTTTTAAATTACATAAATTGCAATAGTCTTTTAAGTGGTAAATTTGTTGCAAGGAAAAGGAATAAAAAATATGTATACAAAAGACTATTAAAAGTGTAAAAAAAAGTTATCATTGGAATATATCTGATCTAAAAACTGATCTTTTAATTTTATAGGGACAATCATGATTTCACTTATCTCTATAACTTAATGTATATAGTGAAGAATTCATCATCGCTGCTAGTGCACAATGCTAACCACGAAATACAGCTAACGTAATCAAACAGCCATACAATTCAAAAGAAACAAATCAAATCAAATTTAAGTAATTGTAATTTATTGAAGTGGCACTATGATCTGTAATAATTCACAAAATCTCACCAAGGAATACAGAAAATCTAGATAAAGATAGAGCTACTGAAATCAATACTGTACAACAAATTTCACACAGCATGATTGACAAAATTTACAAGTCCATAATTCAATGATTTATTACACTTAGATAAATCTGTAATCATGCTAAGTATGTGAAATTCTGCCTGTAACCTCCACACCAAATTTTGGAGACCAAGGTAGCAGTGAATGGATATCACAACAAAAAAGTCCATAACAGAATGCATAGACATGACTTCAATGAATACATTTTTCAACACATATTCCTGGTAGTCCTTTCTGACTGTTGATTTTTTGTTTAATTCAACTTAAACATATAGATACCATGATTTTAAATACTAAGAAACTTTTGCACTCCCACTCAGTCATAAACATACCACCATAATGTCATCTACACAACTCTCTTTCTCTTCTCCATACAATCATCCTCCATAAAAGTCACAAAAAACATCACAAGTCCTGTATCACAACCTGTCTTCACTCAACTCTTCAGCTCATCACTTTTCAGGGATGGCAGCTTTGCAACTTCATAAAACACTCTGAAAGAAATGAAAAAAAAACTGTATGAGTGCTAATAATTTACAATAAGTCACTTTATCAAGCAAATTCTCAGCAAGAAAACACTTTCTTTAGCAACATTTCAAAAGTGTTCATTCTTGTTAAATGCAGGAAAAAATTAAGTTTTGACATTAAACACAATGAATCTTGAAATTTGTTCAGATTTGCTGGACTGAAAATAATGCCTGAATCAAATGGACAGTGATGAAATGCTTCCTGAAATGAAGTGTTTCTTTCCTATATCAAGCATTAATACAAATTAAGCAGACTTTAATTAACTTTAACACTGATATGGAAATAATTCTATGTTTAGAAATACTGGTTTGTACAACTTTTCTTGTATACAAAATTTTTTTGTACCTGTGAGAGTATTTGGACTTGATGGTTGTGAGTTGTCGCGAGGGAGATTCCAACATGGTGTTCAGTTGCTGCATCAGGGGCAGGAGTTGATCATCCTGGTAACCTGTGTAATACTCCAAGGTTTTGTTCTGTAAACAAAATACAGTTTCACATAGAATAATATCACAAAATGTTTCAAAATGGATGAAATCTAACACAAAAAAATTTTGAATTCTAATTTCCAAATCATAAAAGTTACCAAAACATTTTACAACTATAATTTTTTATCCTTGCAATGTATCCTGTCAAATTAATGTTTAAGTTCCATTAAAGGCATATAGAGGAACTTGTGGGAAAACTGTTAATACTATTACAATCTCTCTAACTTGAATTACAACATTTTTTCCTTACCCATTCACCACACTTCTTCATCCTGAAGGCCAGACAAAGACAGGCAGAGGCCATCTCGGATTCACGGTACTTAAGAAAGTCATACTCCATTAGAGAAAGCTCTAAAATGTACCGAGCCAAGGTCAATGTCTCCATGGATGCACGGGCACACTGTGGGAAGAAATTAAACAATTAATGAATTTCACATAATGACCACCTTAATGAAGGCTTCTAAATAACAGGTATATAACTTTTAAAACGGAATTTTCTCAAGTTTAATGTTAAAAGAGAAATTTCTGAAGAACATGTATATGATTAATTTTAAGAAGTCATCAGAATCAAATCTGAATCATACAAATCTTGCAAATGAAATATATGTTGATCTTCAATAGAAAACAGGATAAAATTCATGTGGAGACAGATTTAATTATAAAATGTCCAATGCTATATCAAAAGAGATGTCATAAGAAAACTCAATCATTTAAGATAAGATATATGCACTTACTTGGCTTCAGTCAACAATGAAATTGACAAAACACACCAGAGTTCAATATTCAAAAAACTTTTTCTTAACCATCACCAGCATAAAAACACTCTTTGTAGGGAAAATGTCATATTTTCTCTTCTGTGCTAGTTCAAGTTTTCTACATTCTACATTCTGCAGAACTACAAAACTAATTAAACTTCTTGCAAGGTGAACTGACACAACTATCTCAGTATCTATCTAACAATGCTGAAACATTCCTAAGAACAAACATGATTTCTCTTTGCTGTGCTTTCAGAGCAATCTGTGAAAATTCATGACATCCAAATTAACTTGATGTAAACTTGTCAAAATTTGATTAATTCATAGACGAGAAAATGTTGATCATGACATATATACCATTTGAAAACAACAACTGTTACATTAAAATAACCTGACCTACCTTGGCATATCTACGGAGGAATCTGTAGGATAGTGGCATGCCAATGTCAAAGCCAATCGTCTTCAGGACAGAACGTTCCATGGCAAGGAAGTCATTCTTGGTGTAGGCATCATCACAGATGTACAGGAAGTCAGCTACCATGGGAGGGCATCTCTCCTACAGAAAGAAATGCTACTGTTACCATAGTTACAGTAATACCCAACATAGGCTATCAGTTTCATCATAGTTTACAGATAATATGATTAATCAACCAATTACTACACCTTAATCTCATTAAATTTTCATCAGAAACTTATGTTCATGTCACAAATGCTAGACTCCTTATTCAACACTATTTTTATCCCTAATACACAAAAAACACAATACTTACATCAAATTTACATGATATAAAGAGGGCTGCAGCCCCAACCAATTGTAGACGTTCTTTCGACACATTTTTGACTGTGAGGTATAAATCCACCAGCTTGACAGCTAGGTAGAGGGTTTCGTGGTTTAGCTCAAAGTTCTCTTGGACCTCCACTAACCAGTCAACAAGTATGGCCCGCATGTTGGTGGTCAGGGATGTCTGTTTCTCCATGTATGCAGGCACCATGAATTTCAACTGCAATATGGAAAAAAGGTTTGAAATATCAGATGTTGTTTTTCATGTAAGGAATTTTCCAGTAAAACATCTAAACCAAAATAGGTCATTTCCATCCACGATTCAATTTTCTTTCGATTACTTCTTAGTAAATTATCAGTTAAATTATTTGGAAGGTTCCTCTAAACAAAAGCTTGACTGGGTTATACATTTCATTAAAATTGCTCTTACAATTTTCATGACCATAAGTTAAATCCAATACAGTATTCTACAAATATTTACACTCAATTTCTTTAAAGTGTTAAGAACACATTTAAAACAAGATCATATTCTTCAAAAATATTCAGTACATTTATATGACATTGGAAAAGATCATTTGAATAGAATTTATAATTTATCACAATTGATGATGGAAAATTGGTTACAATATATAAATCAGTATAATCAGTTAAAAGATTTATAGTTAATCAATTATTTAATCGACAGTCTTTGAAAGATAAAAATTTATCATCTTATCCGACAGTTGAGGTTGAATGATAAGTTATATCGGGTCATCGTCACTCCCATCACTTATTTCCATTTGTGAAATTCACACTATTGACTGGTCTTACCTCCCTCTCCTTGTAGTATTCAAAGATGAAGGAAGCATAGAGAGCAACCTGAGCAATGTCGGTCATGTTCTCCTTATCCACATCATCCACTCCCTACAAACAAACAAGACATGTACAATACTAAATTCTAGTATCACAGGTTCCATTTAAAACCTCTCTGCAGAACAGTAGAGTTGTATTTAAGCCATGTCTACAGCCATTTGAATCATACAATTTTTCTTTCTTCTTCCATTTTTCAGGAATACTTGATCTATTCATCTTGTATAGGACCTCATTTATAAACTACTAGTACAATCTAAACAGATTAAAAATGTGAACCAATCACAATTGTATCAGCACTTTTATTGCTTTTCCGATTCAATTAAATAAAATGTTCCTTTTTAAAATCAATAAATAATCATTCTTTTCCCCTTATAATTGAAGTTTTGAGATCAAATCAAATGGGAAATGACAAATATTTCTGGAAATTAAAAATCACTAGAACACTGACCTCTGGTGGGGCAACAAGGGTTTCCTCTTTGGTGTATGTTTCATTCAAGTCTTCTACAATATCGTCAAGGCTGCAACAAAGACAATATCTGAACTGTTTAATTGTTCACTTTATTATTTGAAAAAAAAAATCATTTTCTGCTTATTGTTTTTCAATTTTATGTATATGCAGAAAAATTAATAAAAAAAAATTGATATCAAAATAATCTTCACTTGTTTGATAATGACCATCACTTTGTTAATACAGCTGTACTACATTTTTCAAACCATAATGTTAATTTTATTCTCATACCTGACTTTGGACGATGAAAGACTTGAGGATAATGAACTTGAGGAGCTTGTAGACTCTTGTGAACTGGTGATTGAGGATGTTGATTCTTGTGAACTGGTGAGTGATTGGCTCTCCTGTGACAGCTGGATAACATTCTCATCAAGTTCCAAGACATCTTTAGATTGTCTTGGTCTCTTTTTCTCCTGTCGTATCTTTTGCTTCGATTCTTTTGTTGTTTTTGTTGGCTGAGGTGGTTTGCTTGTTTCCACCACAGCTTTCAGTGGAAGTTTAGATTTCTTCAAATCTTTCTTCTGTTGCTGTGATTTTTCATTCAAGGCCTGTTAAAAATATATATATTCCATTTATTTATATAATATGATTCTTACAATTAACTTTCCCAAAAACAGCCTCTTGATTATTGATTTGATGGAATACTTGTACACCTTATTATTTTCCTTCAAATATGTCTACCATTACTGAAATATCATCTTCCAAATAGGAATGATGCTTTAGCGACTGATCATCATTCTTTACCATATTCTTAATCCCTACTTATTCATACTTACATTTGTAATATCTCCAAAGGCTGCTCTCCTCTTTTGGTTCGTTTCATTTGTGTTGTCAACATGTCTTTTGAATCCACCCACCTGGGCCTGTGAAACAGCATCATGATGGATCTGAAAAGATTGCAAAAAATACTAAAAATGTATTGACAAATAACATAAAGATCCAAACCCTGCAGACTACAATTGAAAAGAAATAAACAAATTACTCCTTTTTAAGATAAAGAAGAAAAAAGATTCGCCATTATCTCATAGATAAAACCATCGATTCTAGTGAAGTGTTTAGAAATCTTGACAAAAATAAAACATTACGATAAGAACTGCCGCTCTGTGAAATATGATTTGTTAAAATCTGTTATATTTGACTTAAATATAACAATAATGCTAATGATATATGCATAATAGATCAAATAACCATAACGTTAAAGGGCAAGGACCTGTCCCGTCTTTTGTTTATAATTAGTCTTAGTCTTAAATGCATATTAATTACCGGAAATGGAGAAAATTAATAGAATGTGTCTTTTTCAACATTATACAGTGAAATTGTTGAAATGAAAAATATGACCTGGTCACAAGCCTGGCTATGTTTGTCAGACATCACATTATTTGCAATCAGTTGAAAGCAACACATGTACACAGGAAATGACAATAAAACGATAGATATTTATATCATATTACAGTAATTTCTTACTCCGACACAACAAATAATCTATCTTATACTTCGCCAATATCAGATGTATTAAATTCTGATTTAAAAATTTAACAGAACGACAAAAAACGTTTACAATTCTAAATGATACTGAACGCGTGATACGACTGATCACAAGTCACACGTTATATCATCTACGACACCGCAGCTATTTCTTGCATCCTTGATCGGAATCCGACTCACTTTTGCAACAGATTTCCCTTTTTTAACATCAGCATTCTGTAGAGAGGTCTTTTGCTTCCTTGAATTCAACATTTTTACGATTTTCTAGATCCTAGAAAACACGTTGAGAGATCGAAGTTCTTGCCTGCTGGCTATGTTCAAATGCGTTTTTACCAAAAATCAGACACTCATGTCATACAGATCAATTCCCTGGTACAAAAACAATTTCCTCTTCTAGTTCAGATCGGTGAGATTTTGTCAAGTTCCAGTTGAAAATGCAATGCAAAGTGCAGTATCATAAATGTAAACAAACGTAAGCAGTCGCCATCAGCTTGTTTCAACGTTTGAATTTTGTCCCAAAGCCAAGCGCGCTGATTGGTCAGAATAAAAATACAAGCATAGGCCACCTAGCGGACAATCATTCTTACAGGGGAGCCTACTCTTACTAAAACTAATGATATCGAGGCCTTGCAGTCAGTACATAGTGACTCTGCTAATGATAATTATAACAATAGATGTTATAAAAGAATATTTAATTATGTCAAAATAAAAGTCCACCATGCTCTCAAGCCATTTCTTGAAATACCTTAATCGTCCCAACCTACTATAAAAAAAAAGAAATCGAGTGAGATTCATTTTTACAACCACGGTGATATTGGCTTACCATGTTATTCATTTCGAAAAATTGTTTCAGAGATGTCCATTTTCTAGTAGTTGTTGTCGCAGTGGTAACCATTGCTTGCGATGTCTGTAATGACGCATTCTGTTGTGGATATTGGGTCTGTTCTTTGTTTTTCACCATATTCGGAATTTTAGACCGATTCCTAGTTTTCTGGGTCTTAGTTCTGTTTCTGGACGTTTGTTTTCTTGTCTCGGTTACGACAGGAACTTTCAGCGGAATCTTGGATTTTCTAGATTCTTTTTTCTGAAGCTGTTGAACTCGTGGCTTAGAAACACTAAATTCCTATAGCCGGTAACAAAGTAAAATAAAATGTATAACTGATTTTACTCAAGGATAGACATCTGACATATTTACCATACTTTGTGATGATTGTGTCATACACGATAATCAATGAGCTTTCCGTTTAACCTCATATGCTCAAAATTAAAAAAAAAAATACTCTCATAGAAATTATATCACAGAGATTTTCAAATCAAAACACAATAAAACGGAAAACTTAGAATTTATTGTATTAAAAACTTATCCAGAAATTTGATAAAATTTCAAACAGAACCACATATTTTTAATATTAATGACTTTTCAGTACTAAACTTAAGTAGAAAATTATATTAAATCTGACAATTACTTTTTCTTGATTTCATAAAAAATTATGATATAGTTCAATCGATAGGTTTTTCTATAAATCTTGACAGACGGTAATACATACATTAGTGATATCCCGGGGACCAAAGAGAGGTCTCCTCTTAGGATTGGGAGTGATGAAGACATCCTGATGTCGCTTTCCTCCTGGTCCGACATCATTTGTCTGTGAGATAGGATCGTGATGTATCTGGAATGAAAACGAATGAATTCTTACTGGCTTCACATATAGCATATATTTTCATCAATCAAGAAGTTGGGAAAATCGTAAGAAAAAAGTTAAATAGACTTAATGAAAAAAATTTCTTTAAAATATAAAAAAAACTGAACGAGTTCACAATTCACATTTACATTTTTTCTTATATTCAGCATTAAATGATTGGTTCATCAGCTAATATAATTTTCTGAAAGAAAGAAGGAAAGAAAAAAATAAGACGTTAAACTCACTTTGCAATTGATTTGGAAGAATTCCGTCAGCGTTGTCCATTTCTTCACCGCAGCCATTATACTTACTAATCTTACCTTACTGAATTCCCCTTCTGTTCGGTCTTCAGCAGATGGATGAGATGCCGAGAGGTGATCCTGTGACTATTTATATACATGTTTGGAGTATACCTTCAGTGAAAATGTTGTTTTAAAACTGAGATACCTCCACTCAAAATTTCAGTTTCGATTTTTGTTTCGTTACTGATAATTTTGATTAATATGTTTATTTTATTGATAATAGGTACTCTAACACAGGCTGATGACAGTCCTAATTGAGGGGAATTACTATGTGTTTATTTTAGGAGTCGTTCAGAAGCGTTATGCTCAGACTCTCGTTGCCGATCACTAATTGTTTGTTTATCTACGTGTTAAGGTACATACAATGTGGCTGACGATCACGTGACAAAGTCCTCGATCACATATTGTCTTCTCATTTAAATCTATTTCGCAACTTTTATTACTACTATCATCTTACCAATATTATCAAACGAACCCCGAAAAAAAACAAAAACAAAAAAACAACAAACAAACAAAAATCAGAAACAAAGATTTTAGATTGCAGACTCACATGGAGATTAAACGTGGCTGCCGAACGACTATTCCAAACAAATGTGCAGGATTGGAAAGTGGATAGTTAATTGGTTTTTGTTGTTGTTGGGTGAAGCGGCTGAAGTAAACAATCAACTTCTACCTCTTGTTTTTATTTCATATATATATAAATATCGTTTTTTTTCCGTTTGTTTCGTCAGTAAAAGGGTTGTCCGTTTGTTGAAAAACACATCTACATGATATCGACTATTTGTGACGTATTTTTATAAAAATAAGTCTGTCATATCAATCTATACAGAGCTGTATATTTTGTCTATATATGTATATAACCTGACGCCACTTTCCATTTCCACATATATAAAGGATTTTTTTTATTGAGCTTCAGGTGAGCAAAAGTTGAAATTTTGTGATGAGCTTCATTAGTATTTTGTATAGGAAATAGAAATGAAGTTATTCTTGTCATTTATTGTTACAGAGAAAGAATATTTTTTTCGTGTCAGTATTTTTGGAGTATTCTTGCTTCAAAAGCAAAAGCAGGTATCATGCATTGTGAAAGTAATTACGTCATTTCATTGTCTTCCTCTGACGTCACCGTTGGTCAAATTACAGAAGTTGGCAGGTAGAATTATTACATGGGTGACGCACTAAGTTCACCACTGGGTAAACCAAACGGTTTCTTAGCTAATCGCGTAATTATCAGAAAGCTGTTAAAACACTACATGATATCCATCTTTTATAAAAAAGATACTAAAAGGATAACGATATGTATTTAAATAAAAAAAGAGAAAGAAAAAACAATTTGCCAGGAAAATACTGAAACTCAAATGAATGAAATTCTATGTAGGTCTCTGACCAATACAAGATATCCATATGATATAGATTTTCATCGTATCCATCGTAACTGAGAAAAGTCTATACAGATGTCTTTGTTCTCTTGACCCCACATGAATCCCAGAACAAAGTGTATCTTGACCTATCCCCGTTTATAATTTTCAGACTTTTTGGGGAGCCTGGTCAATATTTGATAACTATGATACTTTGACACCACTCTGTGATGACTCCCCAAAATGTCATTAACACGTCGGGTAATTAAAAATAACCTGTAACTTGTCTCAGGTTTTCATTACCTTGATATTAAAATTCATGTAACTATGCGCAAAAATCTCATGGCATTCAATGTTGAACTAAAAGTTACAAATGATGCCATTGGGAAATTAATATACGTCTCTGGTGCCCGTAACCGTCTTTCGTGTTACTTGCTACTAAAATTTGCTTCCGGTACCGACACGGACTCGAGATTTGAACAACACGCGGAAACAATGGAAACGGCACGAAACAGCTTGTCTGGACATGTTTGAGATACATCGTCAGTACTGTTACACAATCTGATTAATATAGGTAAATATTTTGACACTTATCATGCGGCTGAATATAAAAAAGGTAAAAATAATAAAAAGCTTTAAGGAGGTTCATACCACTTACACCGGAAGTTGTCTTTTTGAAAGGAAGTTACGACATCTCCATTATAATAAAATAGATACCACCAGTATCTTGATATATGACCTAATGGCTGATCATCAACATGCATTCATCTTAATGCCCAGTTAAATGATAGAGAATCCAGAATATAACATGTACACAGATATCTTATACATACAGCTGTAGTTCAATAAAACATTATATGATATTTAGGTAACGACCAATTGACATGCATCGAATGTTCAGAAGAAAATGTGCATTTGAAACCCAAAAATGAAAACTCAGATAGATGATCTTAACTAAAAGTATTTGAATGAAGAAGAAAGACCACGTAGTCGTTTAAATATAATGGCAGTAATATTTGCTTCCTAATTTTTTCCTTGTATTGATTTGAGTTTTTCTTATTTATTGTTTTCTTAATGAGAGCTTATGTTGAACCAATCAGACAGCCTTTCTAAAACAGTAAAGGAAGCCCTTTACACTTTCCTTTTGCAGTTGTCTCTTGCAGTTATTACCCAATCAAAATCCTTGTTATTTTCTTACATGATATAAACATCTGATTACAGGTTTTGATACAGACTGCATACTTGAATGGTTTGTATTTTGCTTTCATTTCAGACCAGACAGGAAATGTGATGTCACAGTGGAGTCCTGTACCGGTAGGACTAGTATTTTTATTTTAAGGACATTGCATCCTGTGTACAATACCAGGGCTCTCGATCTGCCAGATTTGGGGCTGATATTCGGCTCCATTCCCAATGCAAAATAGTGTCTTTTTTCCCCAGTTTAGACCCGAAGTTTTCCAAATTCTAAGGAAAGCACCATTATTTTTCTCAATTCTAAAGTCCCAGGGCCCCAGTCCCAAAATGGGGTGTGAGAGCCCTGAATACACGTACTATGTTTCGCTGTCACAGGGCTAGTTACACTCTCAATATATATATATAGATATATAAATACAGTGTAGCAGTAGTATACATTTAAATCATAAGTAGCTGTCACGTTTCCAGTTCTGAAACTGTTTGGTTTTGGCTGGTTTTAGTTTTGTTTAATTACAATTACCAGATATTAATAACAGTATAATAACATCTATAGGTATGTAAACACTGTGTTTGTCCTAGTGGCATATAAAGTAGTAAAAATATCACAAGTAAACATTTATTATAATAGTTTGATATGAAAGCAGGGTCACAGGTATCAGCTTACACGCAGCATCTGGCATCTCTCTGTTATTTCTTCAAATCACTTCTTCTTAACCATT